GGCCTCCGCTCCCGGCCCGCGCCCTTCGCCCCGCGCCGCCCGCCTGGCCCCGCGGCCTCCTCTGGCAGCTTCCTCGGCCCGCCCGGCCCCGCTATGGCGCTGAACAATTTCCTCTTCGCCCAGTGCGTCTGCTACTTCCTGGCCTTCCTGTTCAGCTTCGTGGTGGTCGTGCCGCTGTCCGAGAACGGCCACGACTTCCGCGGCCGCTGCCTGCTCTTCACCGAGGGCATGTGGCTGAGCGCCAACCTGACGGTGCAGGAGCGCGAGCGCTTCACCGTGCAGGAGTGGGGCCCGCCGGCCGCCTGCCGCTTCAGCCTGCTCGCCAGCCTCCTCTCGCTGCTGCTCGCCGCCGCGCACGCCTGGCGCACGCTCTTCTTTCTCTGCAAGGGCCACGAGGGGTAAGTGAGGGTCTCGCGGCCGCCCTGCCCTGACAGACGCAGCCTTCACCCCGGGCACCGTGCCCCGTCTGTGCCCACAGCGCCCCCAAGCTCTCCTGCCCCAGGGAATGAGTCCCTCTATCTACCCGGCAGTTCTGAGGCCTGAAAATATCAACCCTGGGCCCTCACACGTCCACGCAAACTGCCCTTTGTCTACACGCAGAACCCAGGGACCATGACGATCACCCGTCCTCAGTACACGGCCAGTGCTTCCCTCCCCGAGTGCGCTTCCGGGCGTTCCACCCCCGCCCCTGGGGTGCAAATGTTGCACCGTCATCTCCGAGCAGACCTGGGCCTCCCTCACGGGCTCAGCTGGGCCCACACCCGTCAGCACCGCGGACAGCTCCCAACTCGGGCTCGGGCCTTCGCCCTGCTCTGAGCAGACTGGGAACGGACCAGGCCGGCCCGTGCCGACAAGGCGTACTGGGGATCCTGCCCTCATCCACATCGTCCTGGGAAGGGTGACGGAGGAGGAAAGCAGGAGGGAAGCCCCTGGAGGCCCAGGGCTTGCGCTCAGACCTTGCTGGGGGATGCGAGAGAGGGAGCAGCAGATGTGGGAGGGCCCTGCTTTGTCCTTACCAGCCTCCCTTCCTCCTGGCCTCCATTTTCCAGTTCCCCTTTCCTGCCCTGGCACTGTTCTGGGAGCGAGTGGGATGTGGTTCACAGGGTGGGGTCCTCAGCCGGTAGCCCCCCATGAGCCTCCACACTGTGGGGCTCTCCGTGGAACCCCCACGCTCCAGGCGATGGACTGCTCTGCCCCTAGCAGCCCAGGGCTCCGGCGGAGGTCCCGGGAGGCCACTCCCGCCCATCGCCTGCCCTCGCATCCAACCGGGAAATCCAGGCCCTCTCCCAAACTCTACCCCAACCCTCACCCCGTCCATCATTTGTTGGCAGTTTTTAATGGCTCTTCACTTCTTTTGGGGAGCTGGGAGCTAAGCCAGGGCTCTGAGGTGTGAGTGGGCAGAAGGAGGGCAGGCAGGGACTCCTGAGAGCCCTCGGCTTGGCTTTGGCACAGAAAGAGGGGCCAGAGAGAGGAAGAGGGGTGGCTGCAGGGTGACGAGGATAGGGCCGGCCAGGGCTGTGCAGGGGTGAGGACAGCTGGAGGAGGGGTCAAACCTCACCAACCATGTGTATGGGTCTCCCAGGGCTGCTGTGACGAGGGACCACAAGCTTGGGGCTTAAAACAATTTATTCTCCACAGTTCTGGAGGCCAGAGTCCAAAATCAAGGTGTCTGTCGGCAGGGTTAGTTCCCTCTGGAGGAAGAATCCTTTCTGGGCCTCTTCCTAGCTCCTGGTGGCCTCCTACAGCCCTCCACGTTCCTGGGCTAGGGGCTTTCCCACTCCGGTCTGTCTCCACCTCCACACGGGCTCTCCTCTCTGTCTCTTCCCCTCTTCTCATAACGACACTGGTCACTGGATTTAGGCCATCCCTAGAGCCAGGGTGACCTCATCCTGAGGTCTTTAGTTTAATGACACCTGCAAAGACCCTGTTTCCAAATAAGGTCACATTCATGGGTCTGGGAGTTAAGACTTGGACATATGTTTATAGGGGACACGATTCAACCCATGAAATGAACGTTCTGGATTTTGAGTCTGCAGGAAGCTGTGCATCAGCCTGGGGACCTCCAGGTGCTGTGGGGTGGAGCTCTGCCCACTGTGAGCCCAGGGCAGTCCCAGGCTGGTGTTCTGCATGTCCCCTCCTCCTTCCCTCATCCCACTCGTTGGCTGGTGTCCTGTCATCTGCACCCATGTGGCCAAGCCAGGTGTTACCCTGGTGTCCCCAGGGCCAGTAGGGGCAGGAGAAGTGTCTCTGAATACGAGATGGGTTCTGAGGAGGAGGAGGGGATGGTCAGCACGGTGGGGTAGGTGGAGGTCCCTTCAGTCTGGGAAGCTGAGGGCAGTGGGCACAGGCCATGTGGGGTCCACGGTTCAGCCGTCAGCTCATGCCCGTCATTCCAGCTTCTTGGGTGTCCCTACAAGACAATTGGCCTTGAGGTGTTCAGAGTCCAGCCGAGGAGGACACGAAAGCAGCTCTCTAGGTGGGGCCCAGCCTCTGTGGCTCTGAGTGATGTGAGATTTCAGAACTGGGAGAGACCGCCAGAGGCTGGGAGCAGGGGGAGCTAAGAGCCCCAGAACCTGCAAGAAAAGAATCCAGGTTGTGCAGGGTTTCACCCATTTCACACAAATTGGGCAGCAAACCTGGGGATTGCCGTAACAGCAGGTTCTGTCCCTTGTCATCTCGTACAAGGCGTCCGCCAGCTCTGTGAAACTGCCGTTGCCGTCCCCATTTTAAAGCCCGGAAGCTGAGGCCTGGCGAGTTTCCGTGCTCCTTCATTGTGCTCATCCTCTGAGGCCAGAGGGAGCTCGTGCTCCCATCCACGTGTCCTGGTTGGAGGAACATTTCGGGTCTCCTGCCCCTTTGCGTCAGTTCTAGGGACTCACCTGTCCTACCACCAGTGACCTCTGTCCAGGCTTCGGTCATGGGCAGGCAAGTCTGGGGCCAGCCTTCTCTTTTCTAGGGACATCTGTTGCATAATGTCCTTCTTGGCCATCAGGAATTATTGGCCAAGGCCACATGGTTGGGCAGCCTCCTGCCCCTACCTTGCCCACCACAATCCAGTTGGCAGCCAGTCAGCGGTGATGGTATCTGTCGAAGGGTCAACCCTTCATCTTAGTTCTGGTTGTAGGACAAGGTCACAGCTCGCATGGACATCCGGGCCACGGCTCTCCCTCAGAAGGGACCCTGGGCTGGATGGACACAAGGCAGGCGTGTGCCCTGTTCATCTCTGTCTGCTCAGGGCAGAGCACAGGGCATGGTGCACAGGAGTCTCCGCATTAGTGTTTGTTGAATGCAGGACAGACAGATGCTTGCATCCTGAGATCTGCTGCTTCACACCACTCACCCGGCCCTGATATCTTTGCAGGTTCAGATCTGGCCAAGGGGTCAGTCCTCCAGGCTAGCTGGATCAGCGAGTCCTGGATCCCCAGGAAGGTTGGGTCTGCCTCGTCCAGCTACAGGCAAGCTGGTCAACCTGGAGAAGCCAACTCCAACTCAGTTGTTGGTCAAGCTGTGTACATCAGGCGAGGAGGTGCTGGGTCAGCAGTGGGATTGAGGACAGCCAGGAGGCCGGGAGGGGCAGTTAGAGGGAGCTCGTGTGATTGATGCGGGCCCTCAGGGCCATCCACGGCTCCTGGACATCCAGCTCAGTGAGGACACCACTGCCCCCCTCAGACTCGGGTTTTCAGACGGCCCTGCCTGCTAAGGGTTAGTGTACACACTGATTTTCTTAAGACTAGAGTCCAACTTCAGAGACCACCCAGGACCCCGCCGAGACACCCTCCCGCCAGCACCGCCAGCACCGAGGGCAGAGCCCTGCCCTCTGGTCTGTGCGAGGTGAGCTCGTGGTCAGACACCGTCCATGGTGCCAGCTCCCTCCTCATGCAGGGGTGTCTCTGTGCAAAGTGGGGGCCCTGACAGCTTGTGCCCAGGAGTGTGAAGGGCTGAGGGGCCGTGGGGGCAGCTTTTTGGACAGGGGTCATTCTGGTTGCTGACTGGATGAATGAGCAGGTGAGTCAGAGGCACCTGTGGCTTCCTGGGGTCTTGCCATTTCAGGGCAGATGGACCAGCTGAGGCTGCGTCTCGGCCCTGGCGCCTGGGCGGCTTTGCCCGAGCGGGAGCCCTTTGAGCGTCCATGTGGCAGTAGTTGGTGATTGACGGCTGGGGAGTGCTGGGTTAAAACAACCCATCTGCCTGCTCACACGTGTCCCTCAGCCTGCAAATCGCTCCCAGGGCTTCCTGGGATAGCTGTCGCCATGGAGACGGCACATCCACACAGGCACCCTGAGAGGCCCTAGAAGGATGGAGTTAACCCTATGTATGCCGGGCTCCCGTCCCTGACTGCTGCCCTGGCCAGTCCTTGGGGATGGAGTGGGACGGGGTGGCATTGTGAACTCTGGGGGCCCGGGGCCGGTGAGGCTCTGGACACACCTAAATTCTTCGAAAATCTGTAGAGCTTGGGCAGGTTCCAAGGAAACTGACCAGAAATGGACAAGAGGAGTAGGAGGAGGCTTGGCCAGAAGTGACCCCAGTGTGGCGCCCTTCTCTATCTCGTGGAATGGGGACTCCATGCTTCGCTTGTGGGAGGAGACCCCAAAATCCTGCTCATTTAATAAGGATGCGGCTGGAGTGTCTGGGGTCTCCAGACAGTGGGAGGCTGTGTTGTAAACTGCCCTCAGAGGCGGGAGGGGCAGCTTTCTGGCAGGGTCGGCTGCATCAGGCTGTGCCGGGGTTCCCTGAGGGCGCTTCCGGCCACGCAGGGAACGAGAAGCCTGTGCCTCTCTAGAGCTCGGTACAGATGTGGGGCAAGATTTGACGCTGGGTGGTCAGCCTGGCTGTCTGCCCTCTGGCCATCTCTCCCCCTGGGAGGTCCGCTGGGGGCAGCAGCTGGCATGTCCGGGAACACCGGGCGCCTGCTGGACCTAGGAGGACGTTAGCAGGTGGAGGGCCCCTAGGGAACCGGCTGTCCCAGTGAGCTGGCATTTTGTGCCAAGGGTGAACTGCTGCTTTGCTCTGCCTGAAGAAGTTCGTCCCTGACCCCCTGGGACCACCATGTTCTCCTTGGCTGGAGCGGAGTGGCCATCCAACACAGAGACACGGGGGTGTAGGCTCTGGGTAACCTCCTGGTTCCCTCGGAACACCAGCTCCTGGGGAGGGGGCTCCCATGGGCTGGGCTTTCCCTGACCCCCGAGCCCTGCCCAGCCCCATGCTGCCCCACAGGGGCACAGCGGGCCCCCGAGCCACAGTGTCCAGGCACTGGAGCTGTGGCAGCTTCCCCAGCCCTGTGTCCTGCACCCCCACCTCCTGTGGCGACACATCCTCGGCACAGAGCTCCAGGCGCCCCCAGCGTGGGGCTCGGAGAGCAACGAGCCTGTTCCTGCCTGGGCGATGGGCTGAGGTCCATCCTGGGGAGGGAATCCGTGCCCATGAGCAACCCTGGCGGCTACTGCTCTCCATCCTTCACCTGCATAAGCTCCCTCAGTTTCCACAATAACCCAGTGAGGGGGGCCCTTACTACCCAATTTATGGAGGGAGAAATCGAGGCCCACAGAGTGACGTGCTGAAGGTCACACAACTGACAGAGGGGTGGGCCAGGTTCGACACCCAGCTCTGCCTGGTGACGACCTCGGTGGTGGGGTGGGCTGTAGTGTACCCCTCTTCATGGCTATAGCCTCCACCCCTTATTCGGAGCGCCCAGGGCCAGATGCATTTGGCAGTTCAGAGCTGTGTCCGTCAGGGTCGCAGCCGGAAACAGATAGCTCACCCAACTGAGGGTACCGAGGAGGGCGGGTGGCAGAGACTACTTGTGGGCCAGGTGTGGGGCCCTGCAATGGCCCTGTCACCACGCTCACTGGAGGGACCACCTGGAGAGGAGCGTGACCTTTGGTGGAGGGACATGGCCAGCCTGGGGCAGCCCCAGGAGGGACCTGGGGATGAGCACCCACCTCCTCTCCCACTCCCAACCATCCCCTGACAGGAAGCTATTGGCTGAATCCAGCCAGTAGCTTGGGGGGGTGGTGGGCGGTGGTCATTGCCGTTGTCCACGGGGGCCAGCCCCCTGGGCAGAGGACGGAGCGGGGACATGACCTGAAGAGCAGGAGGAAGACAGCAGCCCATGAATGACCTGCTGGACAGGGGTGCAGAGCACCCCACACACGATGAAACACCCACGGGGCACTGGCAGTGCTGAGAGGCGAGCACAGGGAGTTTCTGCAGTGACGTGACCTTGACCCTGGGTGGGGAGAGCACCATGGGACCCAGTCAGCTCAGGGGAGGTCGTGCTGCCAGGATGGGTCTCCAGAGGATCTGGGGAGACTCTGGGACTGTGCAGTGGGCGTGGGATGTGCTGGCCTGACGGTTCTCACCTCCGTCACCGTGGCCTCGACACCGGGTGCAGAGCCCCCCATGTGTACGTATGAGCGTACGTGTGCAAACATGCTGGCCAGCCGCCTTCCTGCCTTTTTGGTGTGATCGTTGGGGTCACAGCCCAATTTTGAGACCGTTTCTGTTGCCTCGCCCTCCTCTGAGGCTCTGGGGGTTCCAGCCCTGTGGGGTTGTCCTGCCATCCGCGCAGTGATGTGGCTGGGGAACGGGCCATTGACGACAGCCCTGTGGATCTTTCCCAGAGATGCAGATAGTTCAGCTGTTGTAAAGCAGCCGGGTGATGCGGGCTTTGAGTCGGGCACGGTGACCTCGGTGAATCGTCTGCCTGTCGGCTGAGGTGACTCCTGGGGCCAGGACCGCCCCCTTCTTATTCCGTGTCCTCAGGGCCCAGCACAGGGTGGGCGGCTGCTCAGAAGGTGCTTGCTGAGTGAATGAATAAATGAAGGAATGAATGAATGAGCGTGCATCCATCTCCACTCCGTAGTTACCGAGTCTGATGGCAGCAACTTTGATGTTCTCTTGGCTGATTCCGGCTGAGCCCTTGTTATTGAACGTTCGCCGGGAAGCCCGTTTGGTTGATCATTTTCCTCAGATCCGTGCTGACAGCACGGACGTTCACATCAAACCTGCTGCGGGTTAGAGGTGGGTGGGGCTGCTGTCCCGGTCTCCTCCGCCCCCTGAAGCCTCAGTGTCACCCAGGCTCAGCCAACCCGAGGCTTCCATGCAGGACCTTGAATCTCATGGGGCAATGCAGAGAAGGCGGGATGGTGGATGCTTGCAGGCAGGGTGGGAGAGTCAGCCAACCCCGTACCCCCATGTTGTTAGAGAGCAAACACTGACTCCCTCTGAAGGCACCCCGGTGAGGGCCATGCCCGTGTGGACGCTAGGGAGGCCCTACCCCAGTGGGGCCATGTGCCCCGGCCCTGAGCGAGCTCCATCCTCACAGCCCTGCCTCCTGCTTCCCATGACCCACCCTGCTCACAGCTTGGCTTTTAGGCTTCAACGGAGCAATCAGAGCAGGGTCACTCGGCAAGCCCCTAACAGAGGTCTGGGCCCGCTGCGTTGATGACCATGTGGGTAAATGGCCTTGGGTGGATCACTGTGTGGTGAATGACCTTGGAAGGGTGTCTTGCCTTTTGGCATGTGTGCTGGTTCCGATGCTTTGGAACCAAGCGGCCTTGGGTGCAAATCTTAGCCCCACCTCCTCTATAAGACGCGGTGACCATGGTTCCCACTCCTGGGTCTTTGGGAGGATGGGATGGGCAGCCCGGGGCTGGCATGTGGGACTGTGGGGTGAGGGACAGCTACGGGAGGGAAAAGCAGCCCCTGGTGGCCCCACTCAGCCCCATCCCCCAATCTGGGGCCCAGACCCCAGCTGGAAACCCGAGGGTCCGGGCCTGCCCCTCCTGGTTCTGCAGGAGGTGTAGAGGGACCCGGGGGTGCTGGCCTCCAGTGATCTCTCCGTCCTTCATGCAGCTCCTTCCTCTACGCCTTCCTGAACCTCCTGGTCAGCGCCTTCGTGGTCTTCCTCGTCTTCATCGCCAGCACCATCGTGAGCGTGGGCTTCACCATGTGGTGCGATGCCGTCACGGAGAAGGGCACCGTGCCCCACAGGTGCACCTGGACCCCGCCCGCCCCCGCTGCTCCCTGGTTGATGTCTCTGTGCATGAATCCTGTCCTGAGCCCACGGCTTTGCTCATCCCACCAGTGCCCCCCCTCCACCTGTGCACAGCCAGCCAGCTCCTTCCCTCACACCCGCCCCCTCCACGTCAATACCCCCTTCCCAGTTCAAGGAGCCCACAGCTTCACACAGGAGCGAGGCCCCCACGCCCTAGGGATGGATCCGGGGTGGGGGGTGGAGGCCCGTTAGGTCAGAGATCCCAGCTGCCCGGTCGTTGTCACATGGTTGGGTGAAAGGGCATCGCAGGGTGGGCTGCAGGTCCCGGAAGGCTAGATGTGGCCCCTCAGCCGAAGGTCCTGGAGATCCCACCCTGCGGAGGCAGAGGCCCAGGCCGGACATGGTAATCAGGGACTTTAGTCCAGGAGGGTTTGGGAGGTGGTGATGGTGAGGAACAGGAGCAGAAGCTTCGGGTAGGCAGGGGTCGGGGATGGAGGCCTTCCGGGCCCTGAGCAGGGGGCAGTGTCTGGCTTGGGGGTGGAGCATGGTGACCGCGTGACCCCTGGAGTGGGGCTGCCGGCTGCCTAGCCCTAAGGGACATCATCCAGTGCCCCAGGCAGGACCCTAGAAAGGCAGGGACCTAGGGTCACCTCTCCCAGAAGCTCCAGATTCTTTCTTTAAGCAACATTAGACCTGGAACCCCAATGTATAAAATGGATGAAAGGGCTGAAGTGGGGGGCACTTGCCTGCTTATCCTGCACCTTCCCCCTGGGGTCCCCGGGTGCCTCTGCAGCAGCCTGGGCACACCCCAGGGGGAAGTGTGAGCACCCTGGGTGGGTGGCTCCTTCTGGGTCCTCATCAGGGCAGCCCCCAGTGGTGGGTGGCGTCTCGCCCAAGCTGAGCTGAGCTCTGCTGCCCCCAGGCCACCTGCTTCCTCACCTCCGAGACCGTGGGCAGGCCCTTGGGTGTGGGCACCCACAGTTTCTTCCTCACAAACATGATTTCCTGTCCCCCAACCCCATCCTCCAGACCCCCAGGGCGTACCTGGGCTGCTGGGCTCCCTCTCCAGGCATCTGAGGCCAGGGCGGCCCCGCCTGCCCACTGACAGTTTGTGGACCTCATCTAGGGCTTTGCTAGTCAGTGGTGGCCTGTGCTGCCCCGCAGTGCCCCCGTGGCACATGAGCAGGGCCGCTGTGCAGCTCAGTCTGGGAACTGAGGAGCTGGAAGCAGCAGCCCGCACCCCTGCTCTAGAGCCCGTGACCTGCAGTGGGGGCCAGGGATAGAGTCTCCAGGAGAGCAGAGGCTGGCCCTGGTGTCCCCCGCCAGGTCCAGGATGGGGCTGAGTCTGCAGGTTCCCTGCTGCACAGTCGAATGTGGAGGTTCCCGTCTGCCACACCTGGGGACAGCCCCCTCACCATTTGGGTGATGCCCACTGCTTCCCATACTTAGTGGCCTGGCAGTCACCTTCCACCCCTGCGTCTTGCTGTTTTAGCTGCGAAGAGCTCCAGGACATCGATTTGGAGCTGAACGTGGACAACTCTGCCTTCTATGATCAGTTTGCGATTGCCCAGGTAGGCGGGGCTCCAGACGGGGAGGGAGGGAGGGAGGGAGATAGACACTGTTGGGGAGGGGGCCATTCACTGCTGAGCAGTCCCTGAGAGCACAGCCCATTCCAACCCCCCCATCGGGGAGGAAACCGTAGTTAAGGATGGAGCCAGGCAGAGGAGCAAGTGAGCACAGCTGAGTGAGTCTACGCTGGGGGAGCAGTTGGGAAGGCTTCTTGGAGGAGGGGATGGGAGGGCTGGAACTAGGAGACTGAGCAGGAATTTTGCAGGTGGATGTGGGGAGGGGCAGGGTGCAGGGTGTCCTAGGAGGAGGGAACAGCATGCACGATCTGCAGAAGCGAGGAGGCCCCGGGGAGTGAGTTTGTGGCTCCGAGCTGCGCCTTGCTGGACATGTACCTGGGCGTCATCCTGGTCTGCAGTGCCAGCCAAGGAGTCTGGACTCTGGTCCTGGCTCCGAGTGGGCGCCCTCAGATGAGTGCTGGAGGGCTCAGGGCTGTTCCCCAGCCAGGGGAAGCCAAGGTGTTGTCTGAGGAAGGGCGCGAGGGGATCTGGCCTGCGAATTTGGAGGAGTCCCCCAAAAGAGGGGACCCTCTTCCCCCCGCCCTGCCCTGTATAAGCTTTGTCCCCTGCCCTCCAGCAGACCATGGTGCAACTCTGGGGACCCCATTGCTGGAACACAGGCATGTCGGGATGTGTCGGTGGTCAGTAAGGGCCTGTCCCTCAGCATCTGCGTCGGTGCCTGGGGGGGCAACACTGATGAGGGGGCACCCCCTGAGAGGTGGCTGCTTCCAGCACCAGGCGGAGCTCGCCAGCACCCAGGTCCGCTCCTGGACCCCGGACTGGCCTCCCAAGGCCCCTGTTGGCCAGCGGCTGGTCTGAGGACTCTTAGTGTGGCGAGGAGCCCTTGGGGGGCGGGGGGTGCGCTGGACATCGGTGCGACTGAAGGTCCTCTGCTGAGATGGGCTAACACTGCCACAGACACCTTCACGCAAATTTGGTGGAAAACACTTCAGACCTAATTTGCGCCAATTAGATCAAGGAAGGTGGGAGCTGCGTCTGACGACAAATACCCTCAAATGGGCCCCCCTTACTGCGGCTCAGGCCTGGCTCGGATTAAATTGTTTCTCCTTCAACTGTTTAGAAACAGCAGAGAAAGGTCACTTTAGTCCAGAGGCTGGAGGAGGCCCCGTTACTGACGAGCTCTCCTTGGAGCTGAGTGGCCCCAGCTGCCCTGGCCACTGCCCTCCCGAGGGGACCCCAGCCTGCGGGGGTGTGGGCAGAGCTGCTGAAAGCGTTTGCTCAGCCTGGGGTTCGGAAGGGCCGCCGGATGCTGGGAAGTGATGACTGATGAGAAGGAAGCACCTCGTTCCTCTCCCAGCCGATCCCATCCTTTTCCTGGGTTGGGGATGCACCGGGCGGTGGACGCTGGGTCTGGCCAGCCCCGTGACTCTGCCCTCCTCCCTCTGCAGTTTGGCCTCTGGGCCTCGTGGCTGGCCTGGCTGGCCATCACCATCCTGGCCTTCCTGAAAGTGCACCACAACTACCGCCAGGAGGACCTGCTGGACAGCCTCGTCCACGAGAAGGAGCTGCTGCTGGCCGGGCCGGCCCGCCGCGCCTCCTTCCAAGAGGAGAAGAGTGCCGTCATCTAGGCCGGGGAGCCAGGCCCCCAGACGCCCCCCCGCCCCGGGCACACGGCCTGTCCTGGAGGAGCGGCCGGCGGCTCTGCCTGGGCCCCCACCCCGGCCCCACAGCCTTGCATGTCTCCCCTTGGTGCTGTGTGTAGTGAGTGACCGCTCACCCGAGCGCCCCTTCCCACCGTGAGTGTGCCACTGAGGGGGGTGAGGGGCCGGCGCCAAGAGACCTGGGGCTGCGAGGGCCTCCTCCAGGCTTCACGCAGCTGCGACATGCCTGTCCTGGTGGGACTGGCCTGGCGAGCCTTGTGGAAGGACTTCCACCCTCCCAGACCCCTCTGGTGGTCCACGCTCGGCCCCGGGGCCTTGGCCAGATGCCGTCTCCAGTCCAGCCAGCCCAGGTGTGATTCCATGCACGATTCCACGGTAGCAGCGCATGTCCCCGGAGTGACCCCACCAGCCACAATGACCATGCGCCACTCTCGTCACTCGCTCCTGAGTGGTGTGTGGGACAGGAGTCCCGAGACCTGGGAGCAGAGGGTCAAGTGCGGGAAGGAGCTCATGTGCGTCCCCCGCTTTCTGGCCAGGGGCCCCTCCAGGGCTGAGTCGCCCTCTTCTCCTGCTCCAGGGCCTCCAGGTGGCCAGACCCGGTCTCAGCATTGAAAGTGCAGGGACAATGGTGAGGCTTGGAGTCAGGTGGTGGCTGCGTGGGCATCCTGGGGAGCGGCCACGGTGCCTAGGGGGGAGCCTGCTCATTGGTCCCCTCTGTTCCCTGTCACAGGACTTGCCCGGGGGATCCCCGTGTGGCCTGGCTCGGAGCCCTTGGGGCCCCAGCATTTGTCTCACTGTGTGTGGGCTGGACCTGTGCTTGGCGCAGAGGCGGGGACATGGGCTTCTGGGGGCACCACCTTGCAGGGACGGGTGGATAGGGCCAGGGGCCACCGCAGGTGTCTGAGTGCACGTGGGGGTCTGAGTGTGTGTGTGATATTAGTGTGCATGTCATATAATGTGCATGCATGCATATGAGTGTGTGAATGTGTGTGTGGGTCTGCGTGGGAAGGTGTGTGAGCGTGTGTGAATGTGTGTAAATGTAAGTGTGTGAGTGCAAGTGAGAATGAGAATATGAGTGCACACATGCACAAGTGTGTGAGTGTGAGCGTGCGAGTGTGTGCACGGGAAGGTGCGGGCGGAGATCAGAGCTGCGAGGACATGTGCATTAAGGGCAGCTCCTCTGACCTCATCCACATGGCGGGGGCTCACCCAGAGGGGCTGCCTTCCAGTCTTATGGAGTCCGCTCACCAAGGCCCCCAGAGGGCACCACCCACCCCCAGGGGCAGGTGGAGGAGCTGCGGGGAACCGCGAGCTCAGTGACGAGGAACCAGGGTGGGGGCTGCCTGGCTGTGGACCCCCCTTGAGGGGCTCCCTTGCTTCCGCACCTACACACACTGCTCTGTTCCTGTCCAGGAGTGGGGCACCCAAGATGGAGCAGACCCCACCATCCCCAGAGGCTCATTAAGCATGTTAGTTTCCTAGGCTGGCCTGGTGCCTCAGTTTCCTCCCGCTGCTGCCCACCCCCTGCCTTGGGAAAGGAAAGCCCCTGCTTCCCACGTCTCCATGTGGCTCTCACCGCCAGCGGCTGGTTTGGTCTCCCAAATGGGGGTCCACGGGGCCTCCAGGGGCCATGGATCGGGGCCTGGGTTGAGGTGCTGGGTGGGGCGGGTAGCCTGGGCCCAGGAAATGAGGCCAGCAGGTCCCTTGTAAGAGTGCTGCTCAGCTGGCGCCTGTCTGGGAGAGAGGTCAGGGCCGGGGGGCTGAGGCTTCTGGCATCTCAGAGGTGCTCTGCCTGGCTGAGAGCACCAGGCAGAGCAGCTGGGGCTTCTGGGGAGGTATTCTGACAGAACCTAAGGTCCCTAAGTGGATGTGGTCTGGCCCCGGCCCCGCATGCCAACCGTAATCCTCCAGCCATGGGACCCTTCCAGCCCCTGAGAGCTCCTCGCCTGTTCCCAGTGGAAGGTGGAGCGGCTCTGCCTCGTCCCCCATTCGGGCAGCAGCCGTCTGGGCCCTGGAAGGAGGAGCAGGGGCAGTACGTGGCTTCTGGATCCTGAGGGTCCACCAAAGGTTTGGATCTGCCCTCGGCAGCTACCGCTTGTGGATTGCCCCGAGCTGGCGGGGGCAGCCCCTTGGTCAGACCAGCAGAGACCTGCGTCCACTTGCCTCTGGGGTCACCTGCAGAGCGGGCTGTCGCTGACCACAGACCTGCCTCAGGCCGGCTGCACGCAGCACCCCCAGACGTCATGTCCCGGGAGCTCCCTGGAAAGGGACAGTGGGGCCCCGGGAGGGGGTACCAGACAGGAGCTGCGTGCCCTTGCAGTGGGCAGGGGAGGGCCCCCCGTGGGGCGGGACAGGCAGGAAGGCAGACGTGGCCCTGGGGCCCCTGAGGTGGGTCCACTCCGGCTCGCTCCCACGATGCCTTGCTTCTCCAGCTGCTGTTTGATGACCCACATTCCTGTTCTAATTCTACTTCTGGCTAAACTGAAAGTAAAGATTCTTAAACTCAAATGTATCTATTTCTCAAAGTCAAGATAAAACCCAAAATGCCCGCACCTCTAATGTGGACGACGCGGACGCGGGCGCGATTCTCTCTGCCTGCCCTCCTCCGTCTTCAGCTCATCTCGCCTTCATTGTTTTATCCGCTGTTAATTTAAGATTTAAAAAGCTGCATTTGGTGTGTTCCTGGAGCCTCAGGAACTTACTGGGAATCCGGAGTTGGCCTTCCCGCGTGGCTGTGCCTTCACATCTGCGCATTTTCCGGTGGGTTCGATTCTCGCCGCCTCCCATCGAGGCATCCCCAGGGGTGAGGGTGGATTTCAAATTTCGGATCTCTCAGGGTTATGGTGGCATCTTGAGGAATATTTCCCCCAAAGCAACAGGGGTCTTAGTCTTGTGGACCCTCCAGCGCTGAGCCTGTCTCTGCAGTGAATAGCCCTGGGCTGAGAGTAGTGGGCCGTGACGGTGGGGTGGGAATGGGGGGCTGCCTCATGCCTCACTGCAGGCCCAGGGGGAGGCCACCCACTTCCTGGCATCCTCTAGATGGGACCAGGGCTGGAGGGGGCTGAGCCTGAGGCCTGTGCCTGCCCCGTGGGCTCGGGCAGGTGACTTGACCTCTCCAAGCCTCGGTTTCCCCGTCTGGAATATGGGGAATAACCTACCCTCTTCAGGGGGTGGGTGAGATGAGATGGCTCTGGGGGGGCTGGACAAGGGTGTGTGGGGGGGTGGTAATCGTGATGCTGGAGGGGCCCCGAGGCCTGGGGCCTGGAGCCCTCACATGGTCCCCACAGGCCCACTGCTCCTGGAAATGGTCCCTTCTCTGCTGGGCCCCCTGCTCTGGGCTTCCCAAATTCTGAAGCGAGAAGGGACTCTGAGGCCCAGAGTGGCGCTCCCCCAGTGCCCCACCTCTGCTTTAGCCACTAAAGTGAATTCCACAGCAGATTAGTCCCCATTTCCCTCCTTTGAGTAAAAGTCCCCGGACTGAAAGAGGTGGCAGTGTGTTTTAATAGAAAGTCCGTGTCTCCCCGCTTAAGTAGTGGGGACAGACCCTTAGAGAATATCCCCCTGCAGGGGCAGCACGGCGTTGGCCGCCCTGTGGACACTTGTCTAAAGGTTGTCCCGGGGGACGTGGCATCTCCCCGTCAGTCCCTCCTGGTGTCTGATTGTCAGCCTCCCTGCTTTGTTAGGCCTCCCCCTCCAGGCAGGGTCTAGAGGGGCCCCTGGAGTTTGTCACCACGTGGCTCCCCTCGGCCCTGTTGTGAGGGCACTGCGTCTACACACAGGCCCTGCAGCGGGTGTGTGTTGCAGGCTTGGATCCGGGCCCAGATGGCTGTGTTCTGAAGGTGGTGGGGGTCTGGGCAGAGCCACCCTGCCTCTCGGCCCTTTGCCATCTGCTCTCTGCTCCACACCCCGAGGCAGGTCGACTGGGGGAGCTGGGCAGGACACATCTCCCCAGGGCGTGAGAGGATCCCCAGGCCTTGGGGCCCAGTGTGGGGGTCAGACCTGGGCTTAGAAGATGGCACCCCAACACCACCAACAAAGTAGGGGTGCCGGAGTCCCACTCTGCACACAGCCTTAGAAGGGGCCTGCGGGAAGAAGTGCCCCCCAACCCAACAACCAAACCCATCTCTTCTGATGGGGTTTCGAGGTCCGGGCCCAGCAGGCCCTAAGCAGCAAAGGTCCTGTTTTACCTTCTCCGAGGTCCCACAGATACGGGGCAGAGTGTCCCCGTCTTCAAGGGGCTCCACATGGCCACGCCCAGGCCAGGCCAACGGCACTGAGAGTTCCAGTCGGGATGAGGGAGGGGTCTATAGTGCTAGCCTAGGGGCCGGAGCACATGGGTCTCGATTTTTAGTAGCGGAATCCTTTTTCTAATAAAACCTCACAGTGGACGGCAATGTGTGACACGGGGAGGGCCCCCTGAGTGGAGTGGGCTGCGGCACCCCGTGTCTGATTTCCAGCCCTGGGCCCCCTTTCCCAGTCGGCCCCGCCTGCAGCCCCTCTGTCTCCGGGTTCGCCCTGTGCTGCTCCAGAGCCGTCTCCCTGCACAGCCCTGCCTGCCAGGGGCCGCCGGGGGGTGGAGGTGAGGGTCAGCCTTCCAGCTGCTGGCCGCCCGCCCGTCAGAGCCTCAGGAGGCAGCGCCAGCAGGTGACGGCCGCGTGTCGCAGGCGCAGGACGAGGACGAGGAGCCGGGCGTGGAGGTCCTGGAGGGCCAGCGCGACGGGCTTGGCGCGGCCGCAGTAGAGGCCGAGCACCAGCACCAGCAGGGCGCACACGGACAGCCGCAGGAGCAGGGAGCCGCCGCGGCCCCGGCGCCGGCCGGGCGCTGGGGGTCAGAGGGGCCCGGGTGAGTCCCGGCCCGCAGGCCTAACCCCCTCAGTGAGGACCCCATGGGGATCCCTCCCCCCTGCGCGGCTGGCGGGGAGGCTGCGAGGAGAGCAGGGCTCAGCGGATGGCGGCACCGCGGCTCTGCCCGTGGG